GGGGCACCCGTGACACTTCTGGCGGACTCGCTGAAAGCCTTGTCCAGCGCGACAATCTCCAGCTTCTTCGCCTCGATCGCCTCCTTTCGGTGCCCGATACCCTCCGCCAGCTGCGTGAGCTGGTCCTGCTTCTCGAGCAGTTCCTTCTCCGTCTTTTCCAGGCTTGTCCTCGCGCCCCGCAGGTCCTGCTGCGCACGACGGCGAAGGGCCTGGGGGGGCAGCAGCGCGCGCTTCCCTGCACGTAGCTCCTCCAACTGCATCTCGATAGGACCTCGGAGGTCCTTGTTGCGTTCATCAACCGCGGGAAGCTTCTTGAGGGTATCCTCTAGCTCGCTGATGCGCTCGCCCACCTTGACGTTCTGCAACTTCTGCGAGTCGCCCCCACCAGCACCTGGACCGGCATCATCATCCGACTGCCATGTGGGCGGCTTTCCCCGAGGCTTGGGCCGCGCGGCATCGGACGGCGCCAAGCGCTGCTCGATAGTCTGGAGCCGGGCGGGCAGCTGCTCTTTCGGGATGCCGGCACCTCCACCCGCTGGCTTCTTTTGGGCGCTGCGTAATGGGGGGGTCATAAATGGGGGGGTGGCGAGGGTGGTTCGAAAAGGTACCCAAACGGTACCTAAACGACCCCCTCCGGGGCTCTGGAGGGGCCCGAAAAGGGCACGAAAGGGGACCTTTTCTGACCCCCCCATTTGTGACCCCCCCATTCAGCCACGCCCAATTCTTGGTCGCTGCACGGCGGCCGCCTCCGTCCGCACCTTCGGCCTCCCCGTGCTTCTGGCGCGCACGGGAGGCGACGAAGGGCGGAGCCCGGCGGCCCGCAGAGGCACTGGCCGCGGGGGGCTCGGTGCACCGTGCGGCCGCACTGCCCACAGCTCCGGTGGGGCTTGCGCGGGCCGCGGAGGCCGCTGGCGGCTGCGGCGCCATGCCTGTCACCACCCACCAAACCACCCCAACCCAACCCGAAGGCCTCAATTTGCCCTCCATTTCCAGTGGGGGGGGGGGGTCGGGGAACGTTGAAAAAACACACATGGAGCCCATACCCCCCCAACCCGAAATTCGGGTCTTCGGGTTGGGTTGGGGTGGTCTGGTAGGTAGTCAGCCTGGGCTGGGAGAGACGCGCCAAGGCGGGGCGGACCACCTCGACGCTCACCATGGGGCTGACCAGGGGGGGAATTGAAGGCTCGCCGCGGACTAGCGGTATCCACGTGTGTTCCCTTGTGGAACAAAGCATGTTGAGCCAAGATGGCTACGGGGGTGGCGGGGGAGGAGGAGGAGGAGGAGGAGGAGCAGGAGGAGGAGCAGGAGGAGGAAGGAGGAGGGAGGAGGAATTGGATTGCGACGCTGATGAAACCAATGCCTGTCAGCAAATGGGGCGCTGCAGCTAGCATGATTTAACAAGTTCGGCGTACGCTTCATTTTAACTCATATATCTGCGCGGGCACCAAGAAAGCAAGTTCAGTACAGTAGGAAGGGACCCATGCGACAGAATGGACGGAGCGCGTCGAACCGAAGCAAGGAGTCCAGACCCTCCCAATCCTCACATACACCCCCACCCTCCATAATGGGCAACTGGACGGCAAACGCTGACGGCGGCAACTAATTGTCTGCAGTGCCCGTCCAGGGCAGTCAGGAGGAGGGGAAGAGGGAGGGAGGGAAGCAGCAACAGATTACGAGAGGGAGGGAGTAGGCTGGAACGCATACCGAACACCTCTTAGTCTCGCGGTACCCGCTAATTCCAGAATCCCCCCCTCAAACCATCCATCCCACCATCCCGCCGAAACTCCCCCATCACATCAAGCGGCTGGACCGGCACCGTGCCGGCACAACGTCGCCCTACCGTGTCGTGGGTTCTCGGCCGCTCGAGAGGGGGAAGGGGGAATGCTAGAGAGAGAGGGAGGGGATCAAGCCGAGGCGAGGGGAGTGGTGCTGGGACGCAGGCGGCATTCCTGTGCAGCTCAGCAATCACAGTGAGGCCGCGTGGAGGCACCACGACGGGAGCTACCACAGGGAAGCGTCTGCCAGGAGAAGTGCAGCCGGGTCGGACGGCGGTGGGACAAAGATGGTACTACCCACACCCGACCAACCATGTCATCATTTGCCTGCTCGAGTAAGTTTCGAGACGTCCTGTGCACCTGGTCGCCGCAACTGAGCCTCGAGCAGCTCGAGCACCCCGAGGACGTCTCTCTTCATCCACAGGACGTGGCCGACGACCCCTCCGAGGCGAGCGCTGGCTCTGGCGAGCGTGGAACTGCGCCGGTCTGGCCGAGACACCCATCGTGCAGGCCGGGCGAGCTCTTCGAAGCTCAAGAGCGCTCCGCCTGGGTTGGCGTCGCGGAGCTGCAGTGCCGAAAAACTGCGGGCTGGCCCGCATTCGCACCGCAAGCCGTCTTGTGACTGCATAGCGTGAACGAATGATGAGGAGGGAGAGGGGAGGCAGGAGGAGGAGGAGGAGGAGGAGGAGGAGGAGGAGGAACAGGAAAGAGCAGGAATAAGTCGGGGAGGCGGGAGGATAGTCCTTGAGATGCGTTGCAATTTTGTCACACGAGGTGTTTTCGCCAGGCTTCGGGCCCCAGGACCAGCTCGAATTTGCTTGGCGGAGGACCCAACCACATGCAGCTGTGAATACCGCAGTCGTGAGTACGATCTTCGGTGAAGCTCCTTATGGGTGCACGGAATGTGTGAGGGGTGTGCTAAAGTGTGATGGCGGCGGCACGCGGGCGCTGCCACTGGGGCCTTCGGTGGAGTTTCCTGGAGGGCCTTCGGCGCGGCTTCCTCTGTCCGTGATATCTTTCGTGGTGGGTACGAGGAAGGCTAGACCGTCCAAGATGCCCTTCCCTTTTTGTCCTTCCTCTTTGCCCGCGCACTCCAAAGTCCAAGGCTGCGGGTGCAGCGCAGCGCGGAGTCCCCGCGACCGCGTCGGTCGCCCCGAAGGGGTCCCAGCAAGGCATGCGGGTCGTCCGCTGCGCGGAGCAAAGAGAGAGCTGGCTGGCTGATAGGGCAAGACTCTGGCCGCTGGGCAGAGCGAGGACGGTTGATCGAGGCGCCGGGCAGAGTGCAGCACGGGTTCCTGCGACGCGCTTTGGTCGCCCCGAAAGGATTCCAGCGACGCGCGCGGGTCGCCCGCGGCGCGAGGCCAAACGGTTGACAATCCACTCGAGAGAGGCGTTGCTCGGGCGGGCCAGCTCCCCAGGTCAGGCCTCGCGGATAAGCCCGGCGAAGTCTAGCTCCCGGGCGAGGGCCGTCGCGTCCCTCCTTCGCCGTTTCGGGCGCGTCGCGAACTCCATCTGCTCGCGAGAGCCTTACGGGGCCACGAGGCGCGCGAGGGGGTTGTCACCGTGGCCTGGGAGCCCCGTTTGGACCCTGCCACTGAAGCCTTCGGTGGACCTCCTTGGCATCACCTCCCTCCTCCTCTTCCTCCCTACGTCTCGTGGACATGCGGTGGGCGGGGGGCCGGATGTGGAGTTTGCCTCGGGGGGCCGTCGGTGGAGCTCCCAATGGGGCCACGAACTGAATGGCGGGTGTGCCGAAATCGACACGCGGTGGGCGGGGGTGTGCGCGTGTGGAGTTCGCTTGTGGGCCTCAGTCCAGCGCCCTATGGGACCACGAACCGTGTGACGGGTGTGCCGAAATTGGCATGCGGCAGGCAGGGTTGGCGCATGTGGACTTTGCCTTGGGGCCTTCGACGGAGCCCCCAATGGGGCCACGAAGTGTGTAGGGGGTGTCCCGACACGGACATGCGGTGGACGGGGTGGGCGCATGTGGAATGTGTTTTTGGGGCCTTCGGCGGGGCTCCTTGCAGGGCCACGAACATCTTGAATGGTGTGCCGAAGAGGGACATGCGGCGGGCGGGGTGGGTGCATGTGTGAATTTTGCCTTTGGGGCGTTCGGTGGAGCTCCCTACGGGGCCACGAACCGCGCGACGGGTGTGCCGACATGGGCATGCTGTGGACGAGGTGGGCGCATGTTTTTTTTTTGTTTTGCAGCTCTCTGTTGAATTCCCGATGGGGCCACGAACCGTGTGAGGGGTGGGCCGGAATGGGCATGCGGCGGGCGCGGTGGGCGCAGGTGGACTCTGCCACTGGGGCGTTCGGTGGAGCTCCATATGGGGCCACCAACCGTGTGAGGGGTGTGCCGAAATTGGCATGCGGTGGGCGGGGTGGGCGCATGTGGATTTTGCCTGTGGGGTTTTCGGTGGAGTTCCGTATGGGCCCACGAAGTGTGTACGGGGTGTGCCAAAATGGTGGACATGAGTCGAGCAAAGGCAGGGATGCGAGGATGCAGGAGGAGAGGAGGAGAAGGAGGAGGGAGGAGGAGGAAGAAGAGGAAGGATGGGGCGGGAGGAGGGGGGGGAGGAGGAGGAGAGGAGGAGGAGAGGAGGAATGCGGGGCGCTCTCTCTTCAAAGCGATGACCCAACACCGCAGGATGGTTGGGAAACACAATGCAGCAAACATCGGTGCAGGGCTTTGGTCGTGAGCGGGGGGGTCGGGGAGCAAGCACTCAAGCTATATGGCCATGCATCCTGAGGGACGCCCGGGCTGGTCGGCAAGTGCGTTCGTGGTTCATGCCATCCTTCGTTGCGACTAACTCTTCGCCAGCAGTCTGCAATATACAAACGGCGCCACAACCAGAAGGAGTGAGTGGCCTAGTAGGGGGCCTGAGAGGCGGGAAGATGGTCGGATAGTCCCTGAGTTCCAGACGGCGCATTCTGATGACACTGACGATGGTAAAGAAGGGGGGTCGAACCGGGAGGGGGGCCCTGAGCTGCAGTGGGACGGGGTCGAACCGTGGCGGGGGCCCCCCCCCCTTCGAGGGGGACGGGGTCCGAACCGGGGGAGGGGGGGGAGACCCCCTTTGATTTTCAGGTGGGGTGGGTCGAACGGGGGGGGAGGGGCCCGAAAATGGAAGAGATTACAACCGGCTGGGACGAATTCCAATCATCTCGGTGCCAATCCCAGCCGACCGGTACCAACGACAGCCGCCGCGGCGGCCGAGAGAGGCCCACCGTGGAGCAGATGATCGACCAGCTGCGGCGGCTCCGCGACGCACTCCCGGGCATCGTGGCGGCCCGCTCCCACATGCGGCTCGAGCCTCCGGAGCCGGGGGGGCAGCGCTGTCAAGAGGCATAACCCCGCGAGCGTCGAAGGAAAACGAGCTCGCTGTCGCCGACGTCCTCGCGCGAGCTGCCCCCCTGAAGTGGCGCGTCCGCGACCTCGTCTCCAAGGCAGCGTACCGCGCTGGCGGCCCGCGTGAGCCGCGGCGTAATGCCGCTGTGCCATCTCGCGCAAGAGCAATTTGTCCCCGTCGCTCACATCTGGAACGACGTGTTTTTGCCCATCCGTTCTGTTCCTCCCTTTCGGCCCCCCGGGGGCCAGAGGGCGAGGTCCCTCGACCTGCACCCTGCGCACCTTCTGCGCGGCAGGTGCCGCGCTGCCGCGGCCGCACTGCGGCGGCACCTTTCGCGCGGCAGGTGCGGAGGGCGCAGGTCGAGGGGATGCCGAGCGGCAGAAGCTCAGATCTCCGACGCTGTGATGTGTTCAGCTGGCGGCTTTTCCTCCATGTCGGTCCCCGCGGTCCTCCACTTCGGGCCCCTGGGCCATCAAAAATGCAAAAATGGGCCTGTTACGAAAGACTGCCCCTGGAGAAGTGGTCGGAACTTCTGGGGCTCGAGCGCGCGGGGCCTTGCAAAAAGGCAGGGGGGCTTCTCAGAAGGTGGGGGGGGGTCTCCCCCTGGCGCCACCCCCTTGTGCGCTCCGTCACACCAGTGGCACCAGCAGGGGGGAACGTTTCGCGCTGGAGGTTCCAGGTTTTCGGGCGACCTCGCCGGTGCGCGGCGGTTTTCCACGGGGTGCTCCATCAGCTGCGCCTCGCTGCGAGTGTTCCGGGAGTGCCTGGATCGTCCCGAACGGCCGATGGAGAGCGGACTTACGACGCGAAGAGTCGGCGGCAACGTCGGTGGGGGGGCAGGCCTCACGGGGGGGGGGGCGCAGCGGCCCCCATCGCCCACCGATCGCCGAGAGGGCCCCGATGGCTCACCTCCGCCCACGACCGGGCGGCTTCGCCCGTCGGGGGCCTATCGCCGATCCTTCGGCGGAGGCCTCGCCGATTTCGGGCCGATGCTTTCCCCCCCCGAGCTGGTCTCCCCCCCAGCTCTTTCCCCCCAGGGAGCACTCCCCCGCCGCCGCCGTGCGGGGCCAGGGGGCGCCCGGCGTGCATGCCTCCCCCTCTCTCTGCGACGCGTCCGAGTGACCTGTCGCTGGAGGGGCCTTTGGTGCGGGCACAGTTTAACGGGCGAAGAACGGTGTAAAAATCAACTTGTTCGCCGTCGGGGGCGCCTGCCCCTGGGCGGCTGGAAAGTTTATACCCCTACGGTGCCACCGTAGGGGTATAAACTTTCCAGCCGCCCTGGGGCAGGCGCCCCCGACGGCGAACAAGTTTATTTTACACACCGTTCTCCGCCCGTTGAACAGTGGGTCCCCAGATCCGAGGAGCCAAGGATGGCACGAGCATGAACTTTCGAAGGTCCTTTGGATCGAAGGATTGCAAAAACAAACCCTTCGAAGGATTGCAAAACAACCCGTTTGTTTTGCAATCCTTCGGTTTTTGTTTTGCAATCTTTCGAAGGATCGAAGGATTGCAAGGGTTTTTCTTTTGCAATCCTTAATTCGAAGGGTTTTTTTGCAATCCTTCGCTGATTCCTTGGATCTGCGCTGGACATGTCATCCCGGGCGCGGTGGAGCTCCGGCACCCCGCCGAGAGATCCGCGCGGACCTCCGCCAGCTTGTGCTCATGCCGGTATCGGTTCCCCGACAGATGTCAGGAGGGAAACAAGCACACAGACACAACTCATCGTCGATGGGAAAATATGGGAAGTGGGGGGGACGGCAAAAACCCAGAAAATATGGAACATGATGGGGAATCTTGTTATTTGTGTGTATTTATTTGTGTGTCCCTGGGTCCCTTGAAGATGGTTGAGTGCGATTCGATGGTTGCGGCTTGCGCGCTCGGGCTTGGCCCCCCCGAGCCCCCCGAGTGTCGCGCACCACAGGTCGCCCTTGCCCGGGGCCGCTCTGCGTGCAGCCGACATTCGGCCGACCGAGGCTTCCCTCTCGCTGCGAAACATCTCACGAGGGCGGATTGTCGTTGCTGCCTCCGCGAGCCCTCACTGGTCCCAGGGGCCGTCGGACAGCGGCTCGGGATAAGAGGCTGGTCTGGGGAGGAAGCCCCAGGCCTCCAGGACATCACGCCCTGCAAAACGGCACTGCGTCGGAGGTCTGGGGAAGTGGTTAGGGGGGGGGCGTCTGCCAGCCCCGTCCCCCGTTCCCCTTCTCCTCCACACTGCTTCCTCCCCCCGGCCTCACCCCCCCCCATCCCCACTGCACGCACTCCGTCTGCCCCTGCCCCATCCCCCCCCTTCGCTCTCCTACGCTCCCTCTGCCTCCCCCTCCTTCGCCCTTCCTTTTTTCTTTGTTTGTTGTTTTGGCTCCTTTTCCCGAAAGAGTACCAGGGGTCTTTTCCTTTGTTTTTTTGTTGTGTTCCTTTTCCCGAAAGAGTTTTTTTTTTGGTGTTCCTTTTTCCCCGAAAGAGTACTGTCTTGGGGGAAGGGGGTGGGAGGAGGGCTGTTCGCCTGGGGGTCTCTGGCCTCTCACGAGAGCTGTGACTCCTGAGGCACGGAGGGTTCGCGCCACGCACAATGCCTTGTCATATTTTCCGCGAACGATCGGAAGAGAAGCCAAACAACCTACGAGTGAGTGGTCGTGCCTGTTCGATGCGTTTCGGTGTGCTTCTTCGGGCATGGTGTCGAAATCGACGCTGATCTGCAGCAGTGGGCGAGGGCCGTACCGTCACGTGCTCTTGTTTGCGAGAACCACGAAGCGAGAGGGCCCGCCGGCCCGCACACTTGTAGGGTGAATGAGGGAGACGAAGTACGTATACTAAGGGTGATTGCAGAATGTCTTGTTGCGTACCTGTTGCTCCGATTTGAAAACGGCGGTGCGGAGGTGCGAGGTGATCTCAGGGGGGGTCTGAACCAGAGGCCGCCAGAGCTCGTTGCTAGCGGCGACATCCTTGCCCTCCCACTGGCCGTGCTCCTTTCCCGTTCGCCTCCGTCTGAGCTTTCGCCTCGGGCTCCTCCCGCTGCCATCTTCATGTCCCCTTCTTCACTCCCTCCCCTCTCTCCTCTCCATCCCTGCACCTCTCTCCCCCTTTCCGGTCGCTCTGGGCGCCCTGAGAGGCTCCCCGTTTTTCCCCCCTCTCCCTCCCTCCCTCTTTTCTTCTTTCCGCGCGCAAGTCGTGATATGTTACACGCCCGTGTGGTTTCTGCAGAGTCGGAGGCAGCGAAGGCCGCCTCGCAGGAGCGAAACCTGCCACCCTCTCCGCTCTTGGTGGCGCCTCCCTCCGACCCCTTCGCGGCTGAGGAGGTTGGGGTGTCCGAGCTTTTCTTCGAGAGACGGGAACGAAAGGGTGGCGGGTTTTTCTCTTGTGGTAGGCCCACGTCAGCCTTTCCTCCTCCTCCTCCTGCGCCTCTCTGTACTTCCTTGTGCGCTGCCATATCGGCTCGCAAAGGGCCTCTGAGTCATATCGGCGCGCTGGCGACGTGCGCGCCCTGGTCCCCATATAAAAGGAAAGAGAACGTGCTCTCTCACAGCACGGGTCCCCCGAACTGTACTTCGTATTTCCCTGTATTCCATACTTCCTCCCGTACACTCCGCAGTGGCAGCGGAACCTGTGGTTGAGATCCACGATGGGAGTCAGGACAACTCCCTTATCAGTCGATTATCGGGCGACATACTCTTTACTCTTATCTCGTTCTTCCCGTGCCCTACCCTAGTGCACCGAAAGCCGCCATGGATTCTCCAGACGACGCTCGGCCTCAAGAGTATGAAGTTTCAGCATATCCTTGGTTACAAGCAGAGCAGGATCTTTGGGCAGGAACCGGAGGACGAGAAAACGTTTCTTGGGATGGTGATGGCGACGCGGGCTGGTCAGATCAGGACCGGGCCCGCTGGTTCTCGCATCCCTGGACGGACACACAGCCCAATACGCAACTATCCTCATCAGGCTGGACTGCGCGGGGCCGTGGTTCGCCAGGTGCACCAGATCGGCAGAACACGCCTTCTGCGAGGACAGGCTATTCCTTTTACTCCTTCTGCTTCCGGCTTACGTATTGGGGAGATACCGCTGCCAAGTCTTCTGATCGCCGGAGGGGGGAATTTCTTGAACACTCGGAGGGTATACCGCTATGCCGAAGACGACCTCAAGATCATCATTAACGAACTCACCGAGGACCAGTTGTCTCCAGAGGACGGCGGGCGGATTCTGGTCAAACGTATCAAGAAGGCTTCTGCCGAACACTAAGACCGCAGGATGCCGAAGGTTTATGAAAAGCTTTTCCTCTCAGACGACACCAAGCGCAAGCAAGGCGAATCCCCAGTCAATTATATCGCGCGTAAGGGCGTGTTTTTCCGAGAACTCGAAAAGCAGATGGCCCTGCCTAAGGACCTGAAAGGGCACGTGCTTTTTAGGGGATCCAAGCTCATCGACGCTGCTTGGGATACGGTTGAGCACTGGACAGAGGGATCTTGCGATTTGGATCTGGTGCGTGAAAAGCTTCGGAAACTTGAGCGACCACGGCCCTCTGGCAAAGGCGGCCATCGCATCTATGACATGAGCTCTTCATCGAATTTTGTTTGATATTAAGGAAGCGACAACGGATGCGAGGACCAGGAGTCTGACCGCGACGACTTTCAATGGACTCTCACGGAACAGTCATCTTCTACCTTGCCCGAGTCCTGTGAGGATGATATGGGCGACGAAAACGCACTCTTCGCAGTTGGGGATGCGCCCCAAGACATTATTTTCAGAGAAGACGAGGCTGCAGCGATCCACGCCAACTACAGTCAGGTGCGACAGCACTTGCACAAGCAGAAGCTTGGACGAGGTTTTTTTCAAACAGTCCCCTCAAAGGAAAGTCCAGCGGCTCCCGAGGGCGAAAACGTCGAGGGAAACGAACTGGACATGTCCGACCGAAGCGGTGGAGTAAAAGTAAGTTGATGAGTCATTCGAAAGTGTGCCCGACGCGGGGGGGATGCGACAT